TAAAGTTAACTGGTTATAGAGTAAAATATACATATAAAATATAAATAAATTATGGAAATAGATTATAAACACGACAAGTAAATAAATAAAGACATTGAAAAAACTAACCATTAAATTTATCAATTAAATAACAATTAAAATGAAATGAAATCATTGAAACATAGTTGAAAAACTAACCATTAAAATAAACCAAATTGTAATTTATATCTCATACAAATTCTTATGAAGAATCAAATATCTGTATCTTGAATATGCATATCACACTTAAAACATGTTACTCAAAAACAAAATAAATAAAATACATTTTTATATATATGTACTTAACAACTTACAAAATAAACATGCTCAAACTTGCACATGTTACTCAAAACAGAAATACATTTTTAAGTGCAAGATATTGAGCAAATTCATTAATAAATAACTAATATAAGTTATCCTATTAGAATGCTTATATATTCCTAACAAATTAAAGTGCATATAAAATAGACTGTAAAATTTAATACATATTGTATAATTGATCACATATTATTAAATAAATAGACTGTAAAATTTAATACATATTGTATAATTGATCACATATTATTAAAATAAAGTAAAATCACATATTATTAAAATAAAAATAAAATGAAAAATTAAATACATATTGATCACATATTATTGAAATAAAATAAAACGAAAATAAGAAATAAAAGCTACTATGCCTACATCTCGCATCTTAGCCTGTGGTATTAGTATACACACAGACTATTATACCTTAAGACGTCAAACATTATAAATTCCAGAACCACAGACATTGCCATCTTTTTTTATATCTTTTTATGGGAACCACCATTACTCAGATAAGACTACAATATAAGTATATTCCAAAATTAATAAGTTTCGCATATTATTAAAAACAATTATACCTTAAGATGTCAACATTATAAATTTTAGAACCACAGACATTGCCATCTTTTTTTATATCTTTTTATGGGATCCACCATTACTCAGATAAGATCACAATATAAGTTTATTCCAAAATCGATAAGTCTCACATATTATTATTAAATTTATTCATGGTGTGATTCCTAAATTAATTCCTATAATAACATATATATTACGAACATTGTGTTCTAAATACCCTATACATTTTGCGCTATAGCAAAAGTGTCAAAAAAACCCAGATGTTGTGATGGCTCCACATCACCCCTTCTTAAATTACCCTAATATGAATACCTATTTTTAATGCAGTGATCTTGCCTTATATTTCGAACTACTTATATTATATCTTAAAAATATCTTAAAATAGACGGCACATATCTATTGATTAATAAACAAACCATACCACATCTGCCAATAAATTTATTGACAAATTTGATCAGATGTGTTCATCCTCAATACAATAATAAGCGGGCTCCACCACTATCCTAGGCCTTAGTTCAATTAGTTCAGTTCAATTAAAGAAAATTTATAATATTTTAAATGAAATAAAAATTTTGAAGGTTAACAGATGTTAATGGTGTCCTTCTTTTTTAGACGTCTGTGGCCTTTGTTCAGTAGCAGCATGTAAGCTAATTGGTTAGGATGGTCTTCTAACTTTAAGAGATGCTGACGGCTACATCGAGCAGCTTCTTCTATTACTGTTGGCATGCTCAAATCTCTATGAAGGTTAGCATTTTTCAGAAACCACGGTGCACCTGTTATCATTCTTAGGGTTTTAGATTGCAGCCTTTGCAATTTTTCAATATTTGATGGCATCGCTGTTCCCCACAGTTGAATTCCGTAACTCCATATTGGTTTTATTATCGACTTGTATAGCAAAATTTTGTATTCAAGTGGTAGCTTAGATGACGTGCCCATAAGCCAATGCAATGAACTTAATTTTATATTTATTTGTGTCTTTTTAGCCTCTATGTGTTTGTTCCAAGTTAAACGTCTGTCTAGATGTATCCCTAAATATTTTACATTGTCGCTTGAAGGTACTTTTTGCTCATTTATTGTAATATTGGGACACTTTCCTGGTCTTAGAGCAAATGTTACATGGGTACATTTTTGTTCATTGACTTTGATACGCCATACTGATAACCATTTCTCAAGTTGGTGAACATGTTCTTGAAGCATGCGTTGTGCGATTGCGGGGTTTTTGTGTGCACTTAGTATTGCTGTATCGTCAGCAAATGTTGCAGTTAAAGTGTTTTCCGAAGTTGGCATATCACTTGTATACAGCAGATATAATAGCGGACCTATTACACTTCCTTGTGGAACTCCAGCTTTGATAGGACAGGGTTCTGAAACAAAATCTTTATATTTTAAAATAAAAGTTCTTCTGCTTAAGTAGTTTTTTAACAAAAGGTGAGTGTTAACTGGCATGAGAGTTGTAATTTTATGTATTAAGCCTTCGTGCCATACTTTATCAAACGCTTGGGCTACATCTATAAATATGGAAGTGCAGTATTGTTTATTTTCAAATGAGTTTCTTACGAATGAAACAATACGATGCACTTGTTCAGTTGTACTGTGTTTAGCTCTGAAGCCGAATTGATGCTCCGGAATTATTTCGTTAGCTGAGAGTATTGGCATTATTTTTGTTATTAGTAGCTTTTCAAATATTTTTGATAATACTGGAAGGACGCTAATTGGTCTGTAGGATTCTACTTTGGTTTTGTCCTTTCCGGGTTTAGGTATCATTGTTATTTGTGACATTTTCCAAAGTTTGGGATAATATCCTGTCCGTAAGATAGCGTTAAATAAATGCCTGAGATGTATAATGGCACATTGTGGTAATTGTTTCACCATTGTAACTGAGATTTTATCAGGTCCTGCTGCCTTTTTCGCATTGAGATCTTTTATAATTTTATTGATATTTTCTAGTTTAAAAATAAGGGGCCTGCTCGAAGGATATAGGTTTGTAATTGGTAAAGAAGTATTTTGTGAAGCATTATTTGGAGTAAATACATTTTTCAAGTGTTTTACAAATATTTCCCCTTTCTCTGAGTCACTTCGTGCCCAGTCACCATTTTCTAGTCTGAGAGGAGATTCATGCTGGATAGGCTGTTTGAGGTACTTTGTTGCCTTCCAAAGTGAATAATCCGTTTGTTCATTAGGTGCCAAATTGAATAGAAAATTGTCTAGGGATTTTTGATGTCTTTCCGCTAGTGCATATTTGAGTTCATTTGTACATTTAGCTAGTAAAACTTTATGTTTTGGGGATCTGTGCCGTTGCCATAGTCTTCTAGCGTTTCTCTTTCGTTGTAATAATCCCTCTATTGTTTTTGTCACACCGATTTTTTTGGGTTCTTTTTTTTCAATTCTTATAGAAGCTACTTCAACACCCATTGAGATTACTTCAGAAAATTGGTTAACACAAGCATCAATTTCATTATTCACCTTTAACGAAGCATGTTGAGGTATATGACAAGAAACATATTTACGAAATTTTAACCAGTTTATATGTTTTGTTAGACATTGCGTTTGGATAGTTCTATTCTGTTGACTTTGCATTGTTATTATTGTTGGTGAGTGGTCTGATGACAGTTCAACTAATGGAAATGCGGTGATTGTTGATGGTTTGATATTTTTGCTTAGACCAAAGTCGATAAGATCTGGGACTTTTTGTCGATCAGAAGGCCAGTATGTTGGGTGTCCAGTTGAAATCACATTGAGATCTTCACTTTTCACAACTGCTAGAAGTTTCCGTCCTCTTGGCGTTATTAGCCTTGAACCCCAGAATGTGTGCTTCGCATTAAAATCGCCTGCGACCAGAAATTTAGAACCGAGTGTTTTAAAAAAGTTTTGGAAGTCTTGGACTTCTATATTGTGATTGGGTGGACAATATATTGCAGCTATTACGATATTTTCTCCATATTCATCAAATCGGATAGCTGTCGATTGTAGATAATCTTTGCTGAAGTCTTCTAAAACAAAATGTTTAAGTCTTTTTTTTATTATAATACCAGTACCTCCTCGAGCCATACCTTTGGGATGCTTAGTGTCATAAAAGCAGTAATTTGGAATTTTGAAAGCGTTTTTTTGAGTAAGATGTGTTTCGGACACAAGCATAATATCAATTGCATTACTAATTAAAAAATATTCAATTTCAAGTTTGTGGTTGTTTATACCGTTTGCATTCCAGTGACATATTCTAATGGAGTTGCTCATTTTTTCATTATTAGAGTTTGCATTAGAGCAGTTTGATTTTTTATAAGTTCTTGCATCATACTTTGCATACTATACATAAAAAGATTAAGACTTTGGATCAGTGTTTTTAGCGTCTCTTCTAAATTATCTACTGCTGGTATTGCCAATTGTTGAGGTTGAATATTTTCTCTTAATACATTTGCATAACTTTTGCCTTGAGAGATTGTTGCTTCTGTATTGTTTATTTGTTCTTGGTAGTAATTTTTGGGTGGCACAGCGTTTAATTGATTTTTGGGAAGAGTTCTCTGCTTAACTGCAACAAATACGGTACAACCCCTATAATTTGCAGTATGATTTTTGCCGCAATTACTGCATTTTTTTGCATTTGCATCTTCTTTCGGTTTTGGACATATGGAGGATTTGTGTAGATCTCCACATATTACACATACACTAGGTAAGGTGCAATAGGTTCGAGTATGGCCAAATTCTTGACAGTTAGTACACTGTATTGGATCTTTTCTTTTGAAAGGCTCTTCTACTGTTATCCTTCGATGTAAAAGATAACGAAGATTGTAAATTGGGTGCACTTCTCCTTTAGCGAGTTTTTTTTGCGTTTGGCTCAAGTTCTACTTTAAATATTGGCTGAGGTGTTTTATTTTTGTTTTTAATATTAAAGATGGACTTTGCTTCAAATCCGGCTTCTGCCGGATTTTAAATTTAATTATCTTTTAAGTTGTCTTTCGGGTGCGGCGTTGAGCGTAGTACAACCATTTCAAATAACCGAGGAAAATTATACAAAGGCTCTAACGCAATTACAATTGAGATATGACAAAAAGGTCTTAATTTTTATGGAACATATTAATTCCCTTTTTTTTATTAAAGATATGACGAAGGGCGACTCAATCACACTCAGGCATATTGTAGATACAGTGTCTGCTTTATTTGGTTCACTTCTATCGTTGGGTTCGGAAGCAGACATTCTGAACGCCATAATTATTCATTTAGTATTGTCTAAAGTGGATAACGAAACTAAAATTTTTTATGATTCTCAGCAAGATTTTGAGTCATTGCCATGTTGGGAAAGTTGCTACTCACTTTTGAGTCGAAGATGTCAATTTCTGGATAGCAATTCGAAAAGATGCAATAATGATAAAGTAAATGATACCAAAAATAATTCTTTTAACAGAAAATTGACCACATTTGTTAACACCAAAATCAATTGTATGAAGTGTAATGGAGGAGACCACAGCCTAGGATCATGTCCATCGTTTGTAAAACTGACTTTTAACGACAAATTCAAATTCGTAAAAGATCTTTTTGTTTGCTTAAATTGTCTACGCAAAGGGCACGTCGTTAAAAATTGTCAATCCACAGCTCACTGTCGAATATGCAATGGTATGCATCATACGTGTTTGCATAAATTCAAACCCATCGAGCAAAATGTGAGACCAAATTTGTCAGACAGTCCACCTGGACAACTAAATTTTCCGCAATCTCCATCAATTTCTCTAGTATCGCGTACTAAACAACGATCATTGATTCCCACAGCTGTAGTACTTATTAAGGATAAATACGGTTTATACCAACCTATACGAGCATTACTGGACTCTTGTTCAGAGATAAGTTTTATCACTGAAAAGATGGCAAAGCAACTTCAATTACCATTTGAGCGAATAAACCAGGAAGTATCAGGCATTGGTGATGTTAGAACACAAATTCGCCATTCAATAACTGCAACTATAAAATCTCGAATATCAAAATTTGAATGGTCATCGCAATTCGCTGTCACTAAACGTATCTCATTGAACCATCCAGAGCAGTTGATAGACACAACATCGTGGAATTTTCCTGAAGGCCTTGTTTTAGCTGATCCATTATTTTTTAAACCACAACACATTGACTTATTAATAAGTACGCAGGGATTTTTTGAATTAATATTAGATGGGAAAATTTCGTAAGGCACCAGCCTTCCATGTTTATTAAATACCGAATTAGGGTGGATTATCGGAGGACAATATAAAAATACGCCTACTGTCCGGGCACTCACTTGTAACTACATTCAGTCGTCTAATATAGATTCAATGTTACAAAAATTTTGGAAAATTGAAGAATTAGAAAGCGATCAAAAAATTAATTACTCTAAGGAGGAGTTGAGTTGTGGGAAACATTTTGTAGAAAATACCACAATTATAAGCAATGGTCAAATACAAGTTCGATTACCATTTAAAGAGTCTCCAGAAGTCTTAGGTGAATCATTTGAAATGGCGAAACGAAGATTCCTTTCACTTGAGCGTCGATTAGAGCGTCAGCAGACTCTCAAAGAGGATTATGTTAAGTTCATGCAAGAATATTTGATGTTAGGTCATATGAGTCGTGTCGACAACTTTGACAATATCACACCGCACTATATAATACCTCATCATTGCATATTGCGGCCTCAAAGTACCACAACAAAATTGCGCGTCGTATTTGATGCATCTGCATGCACATCATCGGGTCGATTACTTAATGAAATCTTAATGGTGGGACCTACAATTCAGCAGGATCTTATTTTGACATTATTGACATTTCGTTTACATCGCTATGCACTGACTGCGGATATATCAAAAATGTATCGACAGTTTGTAGTTGATCCAAGAGATCGTAATTTTCAATTAGTTATTTGGAGAAATACTGTTAATGAACCTCTGCAACTTTTTCAGCTCAACACAGTAACATACGGAATGTCAGCAGCACCATTTCTGGCCATCAGAAGCCTGACTTACCTTGCAAATGCGTATCAAAAGGAGATGCCAATTGGAGCTTCAGTTTTGAGCAATGACTTGTATGTTGATGACTTGCTAACGGGAGCAGACACAGTTGAAGAGCTTTGCATCAAAGTATCACAAGTGATAAAGATAGCAGCAAATGCAGGATTACAATTGGCAAAATGGAGCTTCAACCACAAAAATTGGGTAAACTCAAGTGACGAATACCAAATTCTTTTAAACGAAGATGATATTACCAAAACTCTCGGTTTGGCGTGGAGGCCATCAGATGACGTTTTTTGCTTTCAATATAAGCAACAAGAGTCAAAGGCTGCGACCAAACGTACTATTTTATCAGTTGTTGCTCGAATTTTTGATCTTTTAGGACTATTGAGTCCTATTGTTATACGGTGTAAAATCTTAATACAGGAATTATGGATTCATCAACTGGGTTGGGATGATCCATTGCCTCCACTTCTAAACCAATCATGGATACAAATTCAATCTGATTTGGAATATCTTAACCACATTGAAGTGCCAAGATATGTTTTAACATCATCAGCTTGCTACAGTCAGGTACACGGATTTGCCGATGCTTCTCAACGAGCATTCGGATGTTGTATATATATTCGGTCAAAGCATAATGGCTTTTACAAATCTTCGTTGTTGATATCGAAATCAAAGGTGGCGCCGATAAAAGCAGTTTCGCTGCCTCGTTTAGAATTATGCGCTGCCGTACTTCTTTGTAAAACTTGGAACAAAATAAAACCCAAAGTATTACCATTTATTAATGAAATCTTTTTCTGGACAGATTCTAAAATTGTGTTACATTGGATGAAGATGCATTCGTCAACTTTAAATTGTTTTGTAGCTAACCGTGTTTCTGAACTGCAGGACGATTCACGTGGCATTACGTGGAGTCACGTCCCAAGTAAGCAAAACCCAGCTGATATAGTATCTCGAGGCTGTCGAGCAAGCGAGCTGAAGGATTCGATTTGGTTTTGTGGACCAAAGTTTTTGTCGCTTCAATCAGCAGAATGGCCAAAAGAAACATCAAAAACTGAATTTCTCGCAAAGGACCTTGAACAACGAAAACCTACAGTCTTGAAATGTAGCAACAGTGGTATCGATGATACCACATTTCGTCGTATTGTTCGAATAATATCATATCTTTCGAGTCTTTAACAAAGTACCAATAAACAAAAATCAAACCGTAAACGACGTGAGTCCAATTACAGTGCGTGAATTTCAAGAATCATTTTGGCGTATTATATCACACCTTCAACATTGTACATATCGCAGTGTAATATTATCACTTCAATCGGGTATAATCTTGAATCCAGACTTGCAAAAACTAAACCTCTTTGTGGATAAAACGGTCACTACAAGCGGAACATTTAATATAATTCGAGTAGGAGGACGATTGACCAATGCACCAATAGGCTTTGATGCAAAATTTCCAGCTTTATTGCCACGTGATCATCGGTTTGCTCAAATTTTTGTGGAATACTTACATCGTAAGCACATGCACGTTGGCCCTAAGGTTTTAATTAGTCTAATACGCTCTCAAGTATGGATAATTAATGCTCGGGAAGTAGCTCGAAAGGTAGTGCGTAACTGTGTTGCAAACCGACCATTTCTAATATCAGGAGTTGATTTATGTGGACCATTTTATACCACATATCGTATTCGTAGTAAAGTTCCATATAAAACTTATATTGCAATTTTTATCTGCTTTTCATCAAAAGCAGTTCACACTGAATTAATATCAGATTTATCCACTAATAATTTCATTCTAGGCCTAGAAAGATTCATATCACGTCGTGGACTGCCGCAGCGCATTTATTGTGACAATGCAACAAATTTCACTGGCGCGCAGACACTACTAAATAAATTTAAAGAACAATTTTTCAGTCAGCAAGGGCTTAGAGAAATGCAAGAGTACAGCAACAATACTGGATTTGAGTTTAAGTTCATTCATTCCAAAGCACCTCATTTTGGTGGACTTTGGGAGGCGTCGGTGAAATCTCTCAAAACATTATTATTAAAAAATTTGGCGCAATCTAGCCTAACTTACGAAGAATTACAAACCGTGATTATTGAAGCTGAAGCGATTTTAAATTCCCGGCCGATAATTCCATTATCAGACGATCCGAACGATGGTGAGGCTTTAACGCCTGCACACTTATTAATAGGCTCTTCGTTAATTACAATTCCTGAAAGGAATTATACAATAAGCAACATATCATATTTATCTCGTTGGCAACGTGTTACGTACTTAAAACAGCAATTTTGGGAAATGTGGCGGCGTGACTATTTACACACTTTGCAGCTTAGATCTAAATGGCTTAAACCTGAAGCTAATATCACTGTTGGTCGGTTGGTAATTATTCACAATGACAATCTTCCTCCACAACACTGGCAACTGGGCAGAATTGTGGAAACTATAACAGGTAAAGATGGAAGAATTCGCGTAGTAGATATTCGCACTAACCAGGGTGTGCTTCGGCGGCCTATCCACAAAATTGCACCACTCCCTATCGATTACACGTTTTGAAAGGGTCCATGTTGTAGGAAATCAAGATAATCAACACAGCGCATCGCGCTCTTAATGCGCTCTTGTACATTTTGCAATTTCGCTTTGGTGCAGTTGTGCTTAAGATCGCAGCGTGATCAGATGTCAAATCGGTGGCGGTTGTTTTTCTCTTTATATTTGTTATACATAGGTGCTTGTATTATTCAATAAATAAATTATTACGTTGAATTAATATCGAACCAAATTATTTGTTGTGCAAATAAATTATTATTTGAAATTTATCGAACTTGGTTTGGTGCTTTGGTGGTCTGCAGATTCGTGCTGTGCGACCAACAATCTCCAACAGGACTCATGTCTGGTGATTCTGGTAGTGTTTGAAGTTGCCTAAGAGCATAGTACAGCATCCAAATCCGTACGATGACTGCTGTATGCTTAGAATCCTAACATTCTTGCCTCAAGTCCTAACATTCTGACATTTTCTTTCAAATTTCTTTTTAGAATATTTAGATAAATCATTATGCCTTCACCACCACGTTTTACTGTTGGATTTGAGTTCTGTTTATCATAGGCTGTGCATAATTTTCTCCTTACAACTTTTCTAACTTTGATTCAAAATATGTAAAATTAACTCTCATCGGAGAAAATAACTTATTTTCAGAACTTTATGGGTTTATTTAGGTATATGCTTTCTTGCAAAGCTTAATCATTTTATTCTATTATATCTGGATATGTGTGGCTTCTTTCCTGCAATCAGAGTATAATACATGCATTTCTTCAAAATTTTCCGCACAGTATCACGACATATTTTGTTTTCAAGTATTTCGGCAATATGTTCAGCTAGTTTGAAGGCTGGTTGATTATGCTAAGTCTTTCTCTATTTGACAGAATTGAGAGGCGGCGAGTGCGAGATTTAGAAACGTAAGTACTCGTCTCTTTGAAGTTATTTGTAATTCTCTGCACAGATGAATATTGACGACCAATATCTTCAGCAATTTTTCTTTGGCTTACGTCATCTTTCCAAAATTTAAAGTTATTTGTCGCTTACAAACTAATTTCACGTCTTTTATTTTATATTGTAAAAATTTATTGCTTATATAAAAAAATATTATTAAATCATTAATTTTTAGACTCTTTAGGAAGTCGACTAATAATTAAATATCATTTAATAAAACGTTCATGCTTGCAAGCGAATTTAAATTAACGGTAAATGTAAATATTAAGAAATATCCGTAGACTTTTTCTGCTTCAAAAATTGCTACTTTTGCATATAATTGTGTTGAATTTTTTTTTAAGAATAACTGTTAATTTTTTATATTGGAACTTTATTGTTGTTTCTTTGGTTCAAATAAATCAGGAAATAAAAACGAATTTGAGTAGAAATTAAAAAAGTTGTGCGTAATATAAGAAAAATTTTGTGAATATCCGTAGACTTTTTATGCTATGTGTATATAAGTATGTATATAAAAACACAAACGAAAATGTACAGCAAGTACAAGTTAAAGTAGAAGTTAGAAATTTTTTGAATGCTCGATATGTGGGATCAACTGAGGCTTTGTGGGGGATATATGAATTTCCTATGCATTTTCAGTCTCATATCATAATTCGTCTTGACATTCATTTACCACAAAGACAAAATATTATATTTCGCGATGACCAAGAACGTCAAGCAGTAGAAAATCTTAAGCTTGCGAGGCTATTAGCTTTCTTTCAGTTGAATCAAAGTGATCCATCTGCTAATCAATATACCTTGTGATCAAAAACGAACTTAATCGTTTTTTTTTTTTGAATTCCCGCGCTTATTCAATCGGTAAATTTTTTTTATTTTCACGCTGGCAACACTATTATACACATTAGTTTTTGTTTGGCGTCTATACAAAGTCGAAAAATTTTCGTGTGGCGATTTTTAGCTGAATTTCATTCAAAACAAGCGTCGTCGTTGTGAAGGGGCCAAAGAGATGATTTCCAACGCAGATAGTGACCCCACATTCATCGAATGCATTATAACTGGTGATGAGACATGAATCTATGAATTTGACATGCCCACCAAACAACAATCGATCAAATGTCGCTTCGAAGGTGAGCCGAAACCGAAAAGAGAACGCCAAAATCGGTCCAAAATCAAGGTTATGCTGTTTTCTTCGATATTCGTGGTGTGGTGCGCTCTTAATTCCATCCGGATGGTCAAACGGTCAATAAGGAGTATTATTTTGCCGTTATGCGTTGCCTTTGAAACGTCGCTGGGGTCCAGTGAGTCCAAATGGCATTCAACCGAATTCGGAATGATCTGTTCCAGTGCTAAAAGCTGTTTTGCCCCTATCTTTCTAGTCAACTAGTTGCCGATGATACCTACTTGTCAAGTCTAGAGTCGTGAAATATCGACTTTAACCAAGTTGGAACGGTCACTGTCTGTGCAACACAAATTCTCTCCTTGGAACATTTTTCCAACAACGGCATAATAATCTCTTCTTTCTCCTTTCAATAGAATGAGATTGTTTTATTCACCGTATCAATTTTCGAGTTATTCCATAACTCGTCTCGTCCTAGGATCCAATCTCCTGGTACACATACGCCTTCTGGTAACATGTGTACCTTGAATCTCAGCATGGGTTCATTTACACTAGTAGTAGTACTAGTGACCCTTTTGTATTGGTGCCTCCAGCAAACGCTCCTATTTCGCTTGTGTTTACTCCTGTTAAATGTCTTAAGGCTTCTGATTTTATCAGACTCGTATCCGCTCCTGAGTCTATCAGTAAATACAAATTTCCCTTCTCTGCTAGCCTGTATGGAAATTTTATGTATGCATCATCGACCGAAAAACCAACACAAGATACGATGTTATAGTTTGTTTCTTTTCTAAAATCCGTTCTCTTTAATTTCTCCACTCTAGATAATATATACAAAGATAAAGCAAACAAATATACTACCAATTGCTCTCCTCTTTTTTCTAAATTCTTATATACATTTTTAATATCTAAAATCCCTATACTTGGATGTTGTTTCTCCTTGCCTTCATAGATTGTGCAGATCTGGTCTACTTTGTCTTTATTGGCGCTATTTTTTCTTTTTCCAATTTTTACTCTCTTTTTTGGTTTCCTCGACACCGCAATGTATATATTTGGCCAATTAATTTTCTTCTTCTTTTCGGCACTCCAATCTACTGGCCTAGACTGGACCGGTTGAAGTTTTCCGGGTTAGTCATCGCCTCTCTACAATATCTGGCAATGTGGCAGTTTCTTCCACATCGAAAACATTTTATTTCTTCCTTTTCTACACTTTCGGGCTCATGGAATGCTTGTGCACAAACTCCTTGCTCTGTCGCTCTTTGCTTAAATCCGTATGATGTTGCGTATACTTCAGTACTTGTGATATTGTCTCGTCAACTTTCCCATGAGTGTTGATAATTAACTCTATTTTCGTTAAAAACGTTTCTACACGCCCTCCAAAAAAATTGACTGCTTCGTTTCTCTGTTGGCTGCTTCTTGTCAACTCGTATCTCAGTTGTTCCAACGTCCTCCTTTTTAAATATGCTTTCTTTATCGCCTCGCACAAATCCGTTACTAGAAGCAATGGCCGTCCAGCTATTGCCTCATAGGCTGCCCACACTAATCTCTGTTTAATACAGCTAATTAGAATTTCAGAACTTTTTTCCTATAAAGCTTTCTTGGCTAGCTCACAACCTGCCATGAATTTGTATACCTCGCCCCTTAAATTCGGTCCCTCACTCCCCGAAAAATATGGGACCACTTTGTTTACAATTTCCATAATTGTTAGTATTGATGCAATTTTTCCCTCAGTTGGCTTCTCCTGTTGTGTTAAAAGACTCTTTCTTAAATTCGTTTCCGTCACATCAATATTGCCTTTTATATCCGGTCTTCCAATGTAGCACTAATTCCTTATTTAGCTGATTAATTTCACTTTTCAACTTGTCGACGAATTCGCAATTTTTGAAATCCTAGACACGTCTTGCTATTCTAGACCTCTCTCTTTTATCGCTAATAATACTGTTTGTTGCTCCCCATCCTGAAGCAACTCCGTTAATTTGTTAGTCTGTCTATCTAATTCCCTGAACTTGTTTATCGTTTCCTGCATTTCCTCGTCCTTTATCCCTTTTTGATTGTCGAATGGAATTCTCATTTTTTCTGATTGTTCTATAGTCGCTTCGCTTAAACCAAAAGCTTTGCCAACAGATGTAGGACCTTCTCCTATCTTTAGACAGTCCAAAATTTTTATTTTGGTTTCTTGTTCTCCGAATTCTCCGAATTTACGCATTATTTTGTATATAACCAAAATATGTTGTGTATAATTAATTTGATAATATTTCACATTTCTTGTTTATAATATTGTTAAAAATAATAATTACTTTATTTTTAAAATTGAATTTAAATTCATCACATTTCTTAGTTTAGATTTTATTTTTCAAAATTTTTAACTCTGAACTTAAAACGATCACTCACCAGTAATATCCACTCCATTGCTCTTCTTTTATAATTATTCCCAATGTTGTAACTCATTCCCTCGTTACACGTTTTGAATCCTATACAAAACGTATACCGGCTGCGCCAATTATGTTGTTTCTTAATAGTTGTTAAGTTAATTACAGTGAAAGGAAGCACATTTCTATATGCTTAATATAATTTTATATGCTATAATTTATATAAAGTAAAAATTATAACATAGTTTTATATGGAAAATCTTTGACTAAGTGGATAAGGATAATGGAATAACATTGCAAACAATGTAAATATATAAAACTGTGAAATGTTATAGAGAGTGGAAATTAGAAATTGTTTTGCCAAAATAATAAATAAATAAATTATAATTATATTACTAAAAACAAAAGAAATAAACTTTGTTTTATTTTAATTTCGTGGCAAAAATAAGATTTTAAACAAGTTTACAACCACAGTGTTTTTATTATTCGGTAAACACAACATATTTGACGCATCCAATCTTTAATAAGATTGGATATAAAATGTAATACTACAACTGATACAACTCTCGCAACTTTTACGGAAAAACCATAGTATCATCGTTCTTCAGCATTGTTCTTCATAAAAACCACATTACATTATTTTGTCTTCGTTAAAAAAAAAAACAATACTGAAGATTCAACTAACTGCATCTCAAAATAAAAAATTTCTACTACATTATATCTATCGATTAATATATTTGGCAAACAAATACCATATCCATATACTTCAAAGCATCTTAGACGAATAAATAAAAAATAGATGAATTAGACATCAAACTAAGAAGTGGGTTTATAATTAAAAAAGCATTTGTCAACTCATTGTAAACTGGTAATATACAAAAAATAGTGTAACCTGTCTGAATACATGGCTTTAAACTTATATAAAGGCAAACTGCAAAATCATTCTTTTCAAAACAAACTCCCCAACCCTGGTACATAAGTACCAGCGACCTTCACCGTGACCTAAATATATCAACGTTGCCTGAATTATACTGTTTCAAAAAGAAAAAAATTACATTTTTGATATGAAGTCATATTATACCTGTTAGAATTTGAGCAAATAATTGCGACCACAACCTTCTCAATTTTATTGCACTACGTAATAGTTTAGACCCAGTTTCAGCAACCGGAAACTCTAAACAGAGCCAAGAATCACATACCATTCGAGTTAAAGATAAATTTGTATCAATAGAGTACGCAAATAACAACAAAATATGGGCGGCGGGTATACGTATGCAATTCATTATGTATGGCTTTGTTGTTTCAAGCAAATTTCTACAACACAAATATTTTATAAAAAAAATTGAATATTATCTTTTATTACTTACTGAAAACAAAGTATTTGGTGTTTTGTACTTAATATATTTTTGGAAGTGTAATAATATGGCTTTTTTATTTCATCATCATCATTCAATTTAAATATATTGAAAAATTTAGCAAAATACGAATTTGGGTGAATGGATATATATGGCTTTAATGACGTATGAAACAATTGTTGGTTTCCAGTTTTACAGTAATTGAAATCATCAGCAATTGCAATTTTCGGATAGAAGCCACTAACTAGTATAGTTTTTAAAACCAATAAATCCTGTAGTTTCTCAATAGTAGCTGACGCAAGTAACATCTATAAAATGGAGAATGTATATCGATACTAAATTTTATACTTACCGACCTCTAATTTGTTCGAATCATGGCTTAATCGGAAATTTACATCTCTTATATCATCACTAGCACGTTCAAATGCGTTATTTATGCTGTTCATTTTTAAAATTTTTCGGGTTTCAAATTTTTGATATTTGTGTTTACGCTTCAGTGCTTTCAACAAACATATCTCTCCATGTCGTTGAGATCTATCCGCACTTGACATAGTGTTCTCGTTTTTTATTGTAAAAAAATTACACGTTTGTAAAATATTTTGAAACTGATTACGCAGCTTACAAACTTCATAAAACCTAAAAACAAAAATTTGTTGAATTGTTTTTTGTTGAAATTACGATTACTTTTGTTACCTTTGTTCTTCAATACCCAATTTATGACACCATTTCCAGGTGTTCTTTTGATCGATTTTAAGTTTTATCCATTCTCTAAAGACTCTTAAAACAGTAAAGGTATCACCTTGATCTGATTCTAATTTTGTGCGTTCTTCCTAAATTTATTTATTTATTTTTCTTTTTTTTGATTTATTAGTAATTTTCTTGTTTTACAGTCAATGTAGTTAGGCCCTATGTGAGTTGATCTAATTTGCATTCTTATTGAGAAAAATTCTAAATTGTGCCGGTAATGTAGTGAAATGTTGGTATTTAGAATATTTTTAATGTGACTAAAGCAAGATATAGACGATGCTACATGTTTGCAGAGAAGGTATGCGTGCTACCAAATCGCACCGTCTATATTCAAGTTTCCATACCAAATTTCGGTATGAGACATGTATGTGGTAAAATTAAAACTACAAGTCTACATACATGTCTTCTTGTGTATATCTAAATCTGCAGACTTCTCATAATTTGAGAATTTTGGTGAGCGCCGGATGAGCAAAGATTGCGGAAAAAAATTGTAAAATAATTGAAAAAGTTATAGATATTTAGCAAATTTGAAAAAAACAATTATTAAAGAAGTTTATATATTTTAAAAATTATTTTGTGTTAAAAACATTTTTTAAGTAAATTTTTATATTTTAAAAATTATTTTGTGAACAAAAATATTAAAATGCAACACTTTAAAAAATTAAATTAAAAATGATTTTAGTTCTTAAAAGAAAATAAAGTAAGAAATTATTATCATCTCAATCCCTTCAGTTTCAATTACTATTTTGCACTCTGTACTTGCTTCGCTGTTGTTCTGAACGCTGTAGAAAATAAATCAAAATGATGTATGCATACCTTGTTTCAAAGTGTATAAAGCAACCGCATACTTGAACTTCATGCTTGGTGTGCAGATATCATATATAGCATCGTCTATATTATGCTTAAATCAAGCCTAAATAGAAAAATCGCCAGGGTTTCCATTTCAATATTTTCATCAGATGTTTAATAAATAAAAAAATGAATTTAAATAAATCAAAATACAGAAAATGACAATAAAAAATAATTTTATTAAAACCTTGCTTTTTTTTATAATAAAAAAATTAATTATCGTTATTAAAGAACTTTTAACCAAAAAATCACTTTTTCTATTATTTATTAGGCATTTGCAGTAAATTTTGTAAATATTTGTATTTTCAAAAAATTTTATTACTACACTTATTTGATAAAATTTTGTTACAGTGGCTGGCTGTTTGCAAAAAACTAAGTGGATTTTTTTCATTGACTTTGCAATATTGTCTTGGAAAATTGTGACGTTTGCATACTTTTGAAAAACATTGAAATGCGAATTAGCTGTCAAAATGCAACTCACACTTTTTTGAACTTTGTTGCTAAATGTACAAAAAATTGCAAGGAAAATCCCATTTAGTGAAACTAGAACAACTCACAAACGACCTTAGTATCTTGTTTACTATAGCTACATGAATTTACATAATTAATAAAATAAATTTTTAGAGACTAACCTTACATTTGACATCTTTATAAGCACAATTGGTAAATGGATTTTGTACACTTATAATTGCAGCCAATGTCAAAATTTTTTTTATGTCCGAAAAAACCGAACCGAGAAGTAACATTTTACCAATCGAAATATCAACAGGCAAATTACTTAATGCTTTTCCTAATGGTGTTATTTTTTCATCAGCTGCTAAAGCGTTCTAAAATGATGTAGTTTCATAGAGGCATAATTAATCTCAAGAAAATCTATTTGTATACATGCTGTTTTAGGGCCATAATTGTTTGTTCAATTTTTTCGCCTGATGGCTTCTCTATAAATGGAAAGGCACGAATATTTGGTAATCCCATTGCTATCATTTGGAGTACAATAGTATCAAGGGGTACTCTAAAAATTTCTGGAACCAGATAATCATCAAACAAATTAAACTGTTTCTCAGTATATAGACGAAAGCAAGTCTAAAAGATAAATGTAAAAAAAATATCAAGGCCATACATTTTTAATATACCCCAGGGCCGGTGCGACCAGCACGACCTTTACGTTGTTCTGCAGAAGATTTTGAAACCCAAAACTCTTTAAGACGTTGACCTTTGCAAGAGGCATCGTAACTCATTTGTTTAACTTTTCCAGAGTCTATAACAAAGCGTATACTATCTACAGTAAGTGAAGTTTCGGCAATATTCGTTGAAACAATGCATTTTCGAAAGCCTTCGGGTGCATATTCGAAAACCTGTAAGTGAAATGTTAGGTGCATTCATAATATTTATTTAAGTACCTTATTTTGATCAGCTAAGGCTAAACCACTATGTAAAGGAAGTATAATCCAATGAGAATTCCGTTCTGCGTATTCCTTTGCAGCTTCAGATATTGTTGTTATATCATTTATACCACTTACAAATATCAATACATCGCCACGTTCAGAAGCTTGAATGTAAATCTAATGTACTTAATGTTATACAATAAACAAGGAACAATTTTAAGATTTATACAACACAAAATAAACGTTCTCTTACATTTATTTGTAACTTACTAGGATATTTTTGGTCTATTAAACTAAGAACTTGTATAAATGGTTTCGGATCCATTTGTGTAACGATTTTTTGTTTAACGGCTTTAGATTCTATATAAGGCGGCGTAATATAAATGGTTTTGATGGGATAAAGTCGGCCTGGTATTTTAATTAGTTTAATATCTTCTTTTTTAAAATAACTTTGAAATAGTGATATATTGATTGTGGCTGACATCAATATTAATTTTATATTTAATTTAGTACAAAGTATACATTTGATCACACCAAGTAAAATATCACCATAAAGATTTCGTTCATGTATTTCGTCAAGCATTATTACGTCATATAGATGTAAATTTGATTCTGCAGCTAACTGTGCATGTATTGTAATGAAATATTATATTATAATAAGTATTAATAATAACTATACTTGTCTCAATAGAAGACCCTCGGTTGTAAATACAATGTTAGTGTATGGAGTTTTATTATTTTCGAAACGAATGTGGAAACCTACTTTGGTTCCATAATCATCCAGCATTTCATGCGATACCCGTTGTGATAGAGATACGCAAGCCAAACGCCTTGGTTGTGTGCATGCTGAAAAGCATTATTAATAATTTATATAAGCAATTGTTGAAAAAATTAATACCAATATTTCTATATCCAAATTCATATAGATATTGTGGCACTTGTGTAGATTTACCACAACCGGTGTCACCTGCTATAATTATTATTTTTGATATTGGAAGTAAACTGAATAAAGTTTTTTTGAAGAATGTAACAGGTAAAGAACGTTGATCTTTGCGCAATTTTTTTATTTTAGAAAATTTTTTTTTTTGTTTAAAATCCAAATACAATAAGACAATATTTTTAAACTGCGTTACTATTGTGGTTCCCTTTTCGAAAGGATATATATGATTTCTATGAAGACTTATTGTGATAAAATTCTGTTTGTGATAGGATGTGATTTCTCGCGACTTATTATTATCCCATGAATATGACAATATTTGTTGACCACAATTTTTTAGCATATTTTCATATTTAATGACAAATTGCCAAAACTCACTTTCTTTTTCCACTATTTGAAATTGTTCATTATGCAGGTGTTGTCCAAAATTTAATTTATCTTCGAAAAACGAATAGTTAGCTTTTCCCCCTTGGCTATGCATTCTAAGTGTAACTATTATAAAATGCTTATATTATCACCTGAGCCTAGATAGCAACGACGCTGAGGGGACCAAGCCGGAATTGGAACACGAAATTTTTCTAAGTTTATTAATTTGTCAAAATTAGCCAAATTTAAGCTTTTTCACCAAGTTTGAAATATGATTTAGATAGAAAATACAATTATCTCTTATTTGGTATATACCTTATAACTGTATGTTGCGTAATAGCTGAGATATTCAAAAAATAAAAAAATCAAATTTTATGAAAAAACTGACTCTTTTTACTTAAAAAATAATTAAAAAACAACCACAAACGGCCCCGACATGCACGAATATTCACCTGAAAGGTAATAAAACAAGCTTTCAACTAAAGTAAAAACCAGAAAAATCGTACATACAGAATTTGCGGAAAATCGAATTAAAATTCGATATCAAAACTGCTTAAATATCATCCAAATCAAAAAAGTAAAAATGCAAAATGTTCACAAATACATCACAAACCACAATTTTAAAACCTCAATTAGATATTTTAATTTTATCATAAAAAATTGATAAAAAATAGCATTTTTTTTTAGCTTACTTTAGTGTAATCATTATATCCGCGCGTGCAAAAATGGTCCCGCAATGGAATTAATTTTTCTTTAAAGTGAATAAAATTTCCTTTCCAAAAACCTTAAAATCATAAAAATCGTACATACAGTTTTTCCACAATTATTTTTTGAAAACTGTCCATTTTTTACCTAAAATCCAATTATTTGAAAAAAACCTCCATACTCACAGCGCCAAATGCGGAGCAAGCTCAAGGCAGGCGTGCCAGCGCCATCTAAATTTCAAGTATCAATAAGATGTTTGTATTTTTTTACGCAAGTATTGCAAATAAATGAATTACTGAATATTTGAATAGAAAAAGCGACTATCATATCTAAAAATATTAATTAAAAAATAACTATAATATAGATCCAATTGCACGCGAAAACCTTTAAAGATAATAAAACACACTTTCAATTGCAACATAAATCAAAAAGATTGATTTTGTCTTCACCCCAGGAAATTTAATCAAACATGAAAATTATTATTTCTTTTTAAACACATGTTTTTAAAAAAGTAAAGATGAGAAATGTGAAGATATACAAAATAATGCATAATTGTAAAATATCAACAAAATATTTCAATTATATCATAGAAATTTCATTAAAAATAAAGAATTTTTTTTATAGTATGCATTTATATATAGAAATAAGTTTTCATGCACGAACGGGACCAAAATCATCTATACATTTTTATAAAGATGAAGAAATTTCCTTTTCAAAAAGCTTAAAATCGTAAAAATCTAATGCACAGTTTTTTTATAATCATTTTTTAAAAATTTCTCTATTTTTTACCAAAAATTCAATTTTTTTATATAAATAAATTGTGTCACAGCGCTAAGGCCGGAGTATATAGGAGGTAGAAGGAAAAGCGCTATCTGTATTATAAGATAGAATGTTATGTTTGTATGTTTAATGCATTTGTTGCGAATAAATGCATTAATGTGAATTTGAATAGAAAAAGCGACTTTCTTATATAAAAAGATTAATTTATAAAAAACTACAATGAAGATCCAAATGCACGCGAAAACCTTTAAAGGCAATAAAACTCACTTTCAATTGCAACATAATTCAGAAAGATTGATTTTGTCTTCATCCCAGGAAATTTAATCAAACATGTAAATTATTATTTCTTTTTAAACACATGTTTTTAAAAAAGTAAAGATGAGAAATGTTAAGATATACAAAATAATGCATAATTGTAAAATATCAACAAAATATTTCAATTATATCATAGAAATTTCATTAAAAATAAAGAATTTTTTTTATAGTATGCATTTATATATAGAAATAAGTTTTCATGCACGAACGGGACCAAAATCATCTATACATTTTTATAAAGATGAAGAAATTTCCTTTTCAAAAAGCTCAAAATCGTAAAAATCTAATGCACAGTTTTTTTATAATCATTTTTTAAAAATTTCTCTATTATTTACCAAAAATTCAATTTTTTTATATAAATAAATTGTGTCACAGCGCTAAAAGCGGTTTAAAATCAAAGTAGATGGGTAAATTGATCCGTATTTTGAGTGGGATGGTGTCTAACAAAAACACTTATCAGTGTTACAAACCATTTCTTTTTATAAATGTATGAAATGTTTGGAATCTGCCAATGTTTATTCAAAAAAATTTCAGTGGCGGAATCTATTTTATAACACTATAGCTTTCTAAACGCTTCATATAAAAAATTATTAGAGATATAATTAATGTAAAATAAAAAATAAGGAAAATGAATAAATAGATAAAATAATAATAAAACTTATTTAGTGATCAATAAATGGGTGACATGTAATAGAATCTGTCAATTAGTCAAATTATAAAATTCGCATCATATATAACACAATAAATATGTATATATGTATATATAATATAGATACAATTTTATGTTGATGTAGTTTTCATTCTTCACATATCAATTTTTATTCATAAAACTTAAAAAGCAATCACATTTTTCATTTATTTTAATTTTATATGATTATATATGCTTTTACAAGTATGTATTGTTAATCAGACTATGTATGTACATATCTGCATAGGTATAAAATATAGCTGGCGTCACAATAGTTTCGTGCATTTTTTTCTATGCGCATGCAATCATCAAGTTTATGCTTTATATGCTTATAATAATTTTTAATAAGCATTTATTTATTAAATATATGTATGTATTAATTGATTTTACTTATTTTTATATGTAGATATATACATTGATTTCAATTTAGTTCTAAACAATACTTTCAAATATGTGTAAAACGGAGACTTAAAACATATTTTTTCCCCACCCGTCTGTCTGTCGCCATTTGCTAATAATGCACGTGGTTATATGTATGTAATCCTGAAGCAAAAGAAAAAAGTTTTATGCATTTTTATAAAGCGTATGCAATCATCCAGCAAATCATTACACACAGCATATATATGTACATACATATAGTATGTGAATATAAATTTTTCTTATAATTTATTCTTGTTTTATATAAACATTTAGTATTTATTATTTTTTATTTATAATTTAAGATTAAAATGAATATAGTAATAATATATAAAAAATTAAAATAAAACATATAATATGTGTGTTAAATTACATATGTATGTATGTACATATTTATATTAACGATAGAATATGCCGTTATGTTTTTTTTGAAGTTTTTCATTTATTACATACATATCATAGCTCTGCTTGCCTATGCGCATTGACAAACTTTTTTTACCTGCATACTTGTGCATTAAATTTCGTAGGATTTTTGCGAAGTCTATAGTGAATGACATCATCACAAAAACACAAAAAGTAAATGCGAAAGTGTTGTGCGCATCGGATAGTGATTTGAGGGTGGGTTTATATGTTTATATATGCTTGTGCAAGTGCCTTAACTTTTGTCTACAATTTTTGAACAGATCGAATAACAAAATGAACCAAATATTTATTTCACCCACTGCTTGTGCTTTCTAAATAATATTTTATTAATATTCAGTATGATATACTTATATAATTATATTAATAATTTACTAAATTGTTTAGTTTGTTTTTTAGTTTAACAAATAAAAATTCAAATGCAAAATATGAAAATTATTTTCCTTTATTGAATAGCTATTTAAAAAATTGTGATTTTATATCCTAATTTAACTAATTTTATAAATGTAATCTTTTACACGAATAAAGAACTTTAATAAAAACAAAATTTAATTAAATTAATAAGTTTAATATATGTAAATTAATATAATTAATAAGTATATCATACTGAATATTAATAAAATATTATTTAGAAAGCACAAGCAGTGGGTGAAATAAATATTTGGATCATTTTGTTATTCGATCTGTTCAAAAATTGTAGACAAAAGTTAAGGCACTTGCACAAGCAAATATAAACATATAAACCCACCCTCAAATCACTATCCGCTGCGCACAACACTTTCGCATTTACTTTTTGTGTTTTTGTGATGATGTCTTTCACTATAGACTTCGCAAAAATCCTACGAAATTTAATGCACAAGTATGCAGGTAAAAAAAGTTTGTCAATGCGCATAGGCAAGCAGAGCTATGATATGCAATAAATGAACAACTTCAAAAAAAACATAACGGCATATTCTATCGTTAATATAAATATGTACATACATACATATGTAATTTAACACACATATTATTTGTTTTATTTTAATTTTTTATATTATTACTATATTCATTTTAATCTTAAATTATAAATAAAAAATAATAAATACTAAATGTTTATATAAAACAAGAATAAATTATAAGAAAAATTTATATTCACACATGTATGTACATACATATATGTATATGCTGTATGTAATGATATGCTGGATAATTGCATACGCATTATAAAAATGCGTGAAAATTATTTTTTTTGCTTCAGGATTGCATATAACCACGTGCATTATTATCAAATGGCGACAGACAGACGGGTGGGGAAAAAATATGTTTTAAGTCTCCGTTTTACACATATTTGAATGTATTGTTTAGAACTAAATTGAAATCAATGTATATATGTACATATAAAAATAAGTAAAACCAATTAATACACATATTTAATAAATAAATGCTTATAAATAATTATTATAAGCATATAAAGCATAAACTTGATGATGCATGCGCATAGAAAAAAATGCACGAAACTATTGTGACGCCAGCTATATTTTATACCTATGCACATACATACATAGTCTGATTAAAAGTAAATACTTGTAAAAGCAAATATAATCATATAAAATTAAAATAAATGAAAAATGTGATTGCTTTTTAATTTTTATGGATAAAAATTAACATGTAAAATATGAAAAGTACATCAACATAAAATTGTATATTTTTTATATTTATTTATTGTTTTATATCTGATACGAATTTTATAATTTGTCTAATTGACAGATTCTAGTACATTGTATCTATTTATAGTTCACTAAATAAGTTTTAATATTATTTTATATATTTATATATTTTCCTTATTTTTTAATTTCCATTAATTATATGTTTAATATGTTTTTTATATCAAGAGTTTAGAAAGCTATAGTGTTATAAAATTGCTTTCCCTTTTTTTATTCCGCCACTGAATTTTTCTTGCATAAACATTGACAGATTCTAAACATATCA